TGGCAACGCCAAATTGCATTGCAAATAAAAGTCGTCAAAGTACACTATTTCCTCATACAATTGAAACTACATGTATCACCACTCGATACGCACAGGAGTATGTTTATTAAACACTCACCAGCGCGAAAACTGCGACAAGAATGATCTGTTTGAAGTTGTTTTCCCCGTACGTATTACTCTAGTGATACCCATTTTCTTGATGCCGAACGAGGACAAAATTAATTGGCTAAATAACGTCACTGTAGTTGAAAATCCCTCGGAAAGTGGAACAGCTAAAATGGTCGTCTGCTACTATTAGTAGTTTGCTATGAATCTCTTTTTATTTAACGCTGTTGTATATTTCCCCACACCCCACGGGCATGGAAAGACAATTATTTGTACATTTCGCTTAAAAGACTACGCATCTGAAGCAGATGAAATACATCCATCATTAATACGTACTACAGTGACGTCATATTGTCATCGTTCGACCTGAAGAAAATGACAGCCACCGAACTTACGTGTGGCTCGGAGCACTAAATCTCGGGAATAAACATTAAACTTATCACTGTTTTTTGTCACGCGTTTCGCTTTGGTGAGAGCGTAATAAATATATTATCGATTGAGAATAGTTTCGATGGTGTGATGCGAGAAAATATTCTGCTTTTGTCTACTTATATTTTCAATACCGTTTGGCGTTGTACTTTTGTGTTACGCAAGTCTATGAGAGGAATCATAGCTCTTCTATGTGGATAAAATCCCAATATATAAAAACAACAAATATAAACTTCGTCGCGCAGCGCGCACTCGAATTTTGTGTAAACAGTGTACATGTATTTTGCACGCGCTGTATACGTTGCTATGAGTCCCACATCGAACATGACCGTGACGCAGCGAGACGATCACCGCTTATTAAGAACACCAGAAACTACAGGTCGACGATATACAAACTCATGCAATATTCTGGTTTGATATCACAATATGTGATAGGAGAATACAATCTAACACCTGATGTGTGGAATCACTTGCAACATGTCATATATCTACATTCTCTATTCCAGCATTCTGCCGCTCATTACAAGTAATCGCATGCAATTTTTGTTTGACTACTCAATAACAATTAAATATTCTGTTTTATTACCAGTCTGAGATAGATCTAAAAGTATATGTAACAATTTCCTCTGGCTAGATGCGCAATATGCACACGGGTGATTGCTACCAAAATTGTTTTCACTGCAGTGACCGCAATGGAATGAATACTACGCCCTCTTGCATAATTATGCGAAATGGCGTGCGCCCGCAGGGTTTGAATTAACCATATCAGTGTTGAACACCAGACTATCATTATTGATACGGTTATTATTAATATATTTATTATCTGATGGAATAAACTTGAATGGCCGACTTTCGAGCTTTTGAAAACAGTGACATCAACGAAAATCCTGAAATCTAACTAGGTAGATGCTGATAACTAGGTGATTATGGTTATCACAGTTCTATTTACTGGTTTGACATATTGAGAGGTTATTGACAAAGTAATGTTATAGTGTGTGCACCTCATTACTCAGTATATAATTTTCTTTTTTTTTATATATCTTTTTGACATGTAAATATTATATGAATAAAAAAATATAAGAGAAAAAAAATTAAATGAACATTGTATGAAAGGATTCGTCAATCAATGAAATTATACATTGATTTGTCAACATTTCACTATGTTGGATTTTGGCAACTTGGCATGAACAACGTTTGTATAACCAAACTGTAAGTTGGATATGAAAACTTGAATCATTATGCATAGAGTAATGTCACAATATAGTCCTAGTTGTATTGAATGATTTTCAAAATCAGCAATAAGATTATACGGTCAAACAATTAATCATTGCTTGCATTTCCACTATGCCAACTAAATATATATTAGCATGTCAGGGATAATTGACCTATTTCGAAAAATAGTTCAGTTATTTTTTTATCTGGGATTACTGAACAATTGCATAATTGCATACATTTTGGCTATCAGTGGAAGCTTTCAGCAGACATCAAATAATCTGTTTGAGGTTTGTGTCTTCCAGAAATGAATTCAATGGTGTAATAAGGGACAACAATGGGAAACTGTTCACAACAATGATATTGCCATCCACCAAAAAATACAGTTTTCAAGAGATATGCTGTCTAAATCATGATGTTGTCAGATTAAACATGGTTGTCTATTTTGAAGGCACCAATGAATGTAATTTTTACGTCAAAGCCTTTTCACTTATAGAATAGGTATACTGTCTGCTACATTCTATCACATACACACAGACACAAATAAAAGAATTCTATAAATATTTTTATGTAATTTTATGCAAAATATAAATGTAACATTTTAATTTAGGGAAAGGGTTTGTTTGTTTGAGACATTCTTCACTTCTCTTACCCTCTGTTTGCTCACATTTACGATGACAAACAATAATAAGAATTCAATAATAATAACAATAATAAATGACAATAATAATGACGATAATAATGATTAAAGGCAAACAAAAACTGTTACATAAAGGTTCTGATGCTGTGCTTAAAACAAATCCTGAGGTCTGTACAGCTGACAATCGTTACAACAGAAAATTTGAACGAAAATGTTGTCTCAAATATTAATAAACTTCTGTAATTGGTTCACTAAGTTCTGAGCAAATTTATGAAAATTGGCCTGATTGTTATCAGTTTTGAAATACTCTAGTTAAACCTGTGTATTTGGAACCACGTCTACAGTACAGACATTTTCGTTGGTGAGCTTACTTTAAACATGGAGCGAGTTTACTCCATGGTTTGAATTTTTTTAAAAATATATGCTTGGCCATTCACTGTGCAGTATGACATGACTATTAGGACACTCAGTAGAACAGCCTGTTCTGTATAGACTGTCAGTTTAGTATATCACATCACTTTGAACATTGTACATGCTATGGATTTTAAAAAGCCGACAGCATTGATATCTCGACATTTGATTAAGTTATTACGCTGTGCATGTACTGGTAATAATATAGGGATGTCTATTTCAGCGACACAAAGTCTACAAGTTTGCCTGCAATGTTGCAATGATAACAATCAGGACAATGTTTTATAAATTCAACTACAGAAGTAAATAAATATTGAGACCACATTTTCATTTCCGTTCTAATGACTGTATAATGAATATGAGAAAAACAAGTATTTACAACAGATTTTATTATTTTGGCTTAAAAAAAATCGCATATAAATGTAGTATGAGAGGGGATACTGATCATGGATTGGTTGCCTAGCTTGCTCATAGAAGAAACCTTATAATGGTTCAACCCAAAGCCCCTATGATAAAATAGAACATTCCTCAACATAACTAGTATACACACGAGCATAGTGAGTCAGAATAATGCAGTTTACTGATTGGTTTACTGATGTCATGTGATAAAAGATGACCAACAGGAAGTGAGATTCACTATATTGCTTTGTCGCTACTGGTTGATTGGCAAGTAGCTGACTGATATAATGAGTATATGGCATAGAAACATTTTTGATCAGTGTGAAAATGTTAAGCAGAAAAATTTCAGTCAACCAGTTATGATAAACTCAAATATCCAAAGAATTTATATTTAATTTTTGAAAAAGCAAATCCTAAATTCACTGACAAAAGTTGATCATGAAATGTTTGTAACACTTTTGACAAGAATAGAAATTTGACAATCAAGGACAAAAAATCTCTGAACAAACTGAGCATGAACACCCCTTATATTTACAATATTTTGGTATCCACTGCCACAGTTAGACAACGTTGGGAATGTTCCATTTTATCACAGAGAAGGAAGCTATGAATAGATGAGCTTTTATGTATTTAGAATCCATTCACTTGACAAGCATCTCACAAAGAAAGTAATCTAAAATAATGATTTCAATCCATTTCATTCTTCTCTCCAAAATCAAGTATTCCAGCACTTTTACCAAAAAATGTTTTGTAATTAAAGAGAAACACATATTTACAAAGTCTATCTTTAAGTGTGTGGATGTAACCATGGTTTCATTACCACACTAAAATTGTATACACAATAAATATTAAAAAAAAAATGCATCGACATGGATTATTTCATTACAAAAACATTCACAAATTTGACAGAAACAGCTAATGCATGCGCTTTGAGAGTGTGGAGCTTAATTTGAAAGTAAAAAAAAATGGAGACATTAATTTGAAATTAAAGTGTATTACTCCATATGGCCAACCCTCAAATTAAGATTGTGGCACATTCCATTCCACTGTAGATGACACAGCACAAGTAACAGAGGGAATGACAAACAGTGATCACAGAACACAGATCATAGTGAGTTTACAGATGCCATAAATGATTCTTTTCATGTCTCAAATCAATGTTTCAAAAACAAATCTTAAAGTAGACTTGCGACTACAGCAGAAAGAGTGGAAACATCAATTTTCAAAAAAAAAAAGTGTTTAATCTAGTTATAAATTTGGTAAACATTACCACTCAAATGCAGGTCAGTTTATAATTTTTTGTCAAAAATTCCACCATAGGAATAATGCATGATACTTATAATTAATATTATTTAAAAAACAATCTATTCAAATTAAAAACACTAAATTTTATTTGGGCTAGGCCTGTATTGTCATACAGAGTTGCCCCTGTATTATAGCTGGGTAAACCCCATTAATTTCAGAGCCCACCCCCCCATCTGTTCTCAAACTTCAGGGGAGCGAGTTGTATGCTTTCCAAACCCAGTGTTAACCAATGATAGAGCTCTGTCTCTGTCTATTATTTTCCACAAAATATGTACAAATCTCAAATTTATGATGAGAAAAAAAAAGTCTGAATTTGTCTTGAATTTCATTCACACGTACGTACTTATTCACTCACTTATACTTTTTCATACAATATTGAACTGGCTTGAAATGAAACACACATACCGAAAGATCTGATATGCTATTTGGAGCTGTCCTTGGAGTCCTGCCATGACAGCAGCAGTACGTAAAATTATTCACTTTTACAAAAAATGCCACGGATGATATAATACAAATCTATATGTCTTTCTATACAGGATATTATTTTTCCACAGAAACACTGTGTGTCAGCACGAGGGCCAATATGAGCGAACTGGGCTATGTAATCTTGAAATAAGAAAAGCTTATAACTTTATAGGGGATAATCGATTCAAGATGTAAAAGGCAATATACATTTTTGGGCTAAAAATATCCCAATAATCCCTTCTTCGAAATCCAATTTTCAAAGGTACAAAACAATCTCCCACATTTCTTGATTCAGGGTACACACCCACATGAAAAGTGCTTTTAACACTGAAAACTTAAGGATGACAATGAAATCACGTTTTTGAGGTTGGTTATTAACCCTGTTTTAGTAACAAGTTCATTCTGGGTATTATTGTACACAACATACATTTTCTGCTTCCTAGATATGTAGGATGGTCAAAATCAGAAAGCCTTGATGACACGTTAACGATGATTAGTCTTTTCTTCTTTTCCTTCTTTCCCGGAATGATGTTTTACCCACAATGCAGTACTGAGATCATAAGGTCAACATTCAGAGGTCATTCCTGTGGCAGTGCTGGAACATTGACATTCGCTGTGGTGAAAAACGCCATCTTTTCCCTGAGAGAGAAAACAAGACGACAATGTTAATATATCAGTATTCATGAGAATCATGTGGTTGAAACCATGCATCATTTTGTGAATACATTGATGATATTGCATTAAGAAAGCGTGTAAATACCTGAATGACATTATTTGTGGAGTCTGGTTTTGGCTCTGTCGAAGTTTGTATACTTCTTTAGAAGCCTTTTTCATCAACTTTTGGTTCTTCTCTTGTTCTTGTTGCTGTTTTCGTTGTACCTCTAATTCTGCACTCTCAAGTAATTTTCTAATGATGTCACTTTGACTGAGCCAGCTAGGATTTTCACCTGAGTAGAAAAAAAACAGACTTTGAGAATCAGATTTTCCGTATCATATTAAAAGCAAATGTGCAAAATATAGTTATATCAAACTTTATGAACAGTTGCCATGTCAACTTGAGATGTGTACACATTTATGCAAATATACAACAAATGTGAATTTGCATATCATAGATTCTAGGCTTGTTCAATTCGTGATATTCAAAAATATTTGCAACATTGTAGGCAGGTCATAATTACGTACCTGCAGCCTGCGCCATTTCCATTCGTTCCTTTATCTCCTTCAGTCGTTGGATTTCTTCATGAATGTGTTCTTGTTTTGTTCTTGAAGCTTGAAGGTCAAGTTCAAGATCCAGTGACGTTCGGTGGTGATTCTTTTCAACGTGAATCTGCGGCACTCTAGAATTCTGCATCGTAAAGAAACGATTAGAGATATCATAGTCACAAGAAAATCATTAACTACATAGCAACAATGGTAACAATTTCACTTTGATATCTCCATTATTTTTAGTATTTCATGATAGGAACCCTATTAAAACTTTAAATCATTTTGAAAATTTCAATAATGTGAGAAAGTTGAATAAAAAAACCAAAAAAAACCTTACCTTCTTCCATCGATGACTTCGCCTTTCCAACGAGTTCCTGACAAATGGTCTACGATACAAAGGCATGGAACTGTCACTATCGCTACGATTAAGCTGTAATAAAAAATGGTACAAAATTAGGATAGGATATTTTATTTTGAATGTACACAAAAACAATGCTTGAGTAAAGTCAGCTTGCGAACATTCTGATAATAACACCCCCACCCTCCTAAGAAATATGTGGTAATATTTTGAGGTTAATTTTGAAGAATTATAAATCGATGTTCAAAGTGTGTGCATGATAACAATATTGACTGCAATAAAAAAAAAAAATTTTCAGCATAGTATATGAAGTCTGCCCTCAATGTGATCTTCATATTTGCACTGTAGAGGGCGCCAACACACATAAGGTATGTGGCAAGGGGAGGGAGACATTGATTTGAAAAAAGCTGACAAATAGTGACCTTTTGTAGGCAAGAAAACTAGCAGAAATTATGAAATTCATATATTCTGATTATGACAAAATACAAATTGCTCCTACACCAAATCTACCCACCTTACATATATACTGATGTTTTTTAGGACCAGGAGAGAATGTTGCCGATCGAACAATATTACTACCACGTAAATTTCCACTGTTATCATCTTTATGTCTTGAAGTCTTGCCACTGCGCATAAACTCCCCGCTCGTCATAGCGTCAGTGTTTGTTTCCTTATCACACAAGTTGGCAGGTGCAAGTCCGTACATATTCATTTGCTCTTGCATAACAATTTGTTCGTACATGCTCAAATGCTCAGGCATGCCCACATGTGCCGGCAAACACATTTGCTCCGGCATATCTGCATGTTCGTATATGTTCGTTAAAGTACTCTCACTGCCTATTGTAAACTGTGGAACTTGTGGCTGTTGGAGTTGCTGCTGCTGTTGATGCTGCAACTGCTGCTGCAGTAACTGTTCCTCATACAACTGTTGTTCCTGGAACAGTTGCTGCTGCTGGAGCTGTAGATATAATTGGTGTTGCTGTTCTTCCGTTAAGACTGGTGCTGGGAGAGACATGGTATCCTGATGCATGACTGGAACATACTGCAGCGGCTGTTGTTGTTGTTGTTGTTGCTGTTGTTGCTGATGCTGGTAATAACCGGTATCAAATGAGCATGATCGTAACCTACAAATAATAGATATTGCACATAAGCAGTAAATCTGCTAATTAGTGAACAATGACCAACCTTCAATGCCTTTAACCTCATGGCAAACCTACAAATTCCTGGCTGTGCTCTCAATGTATAATGGATGTGAATTTTTATTTTGAAAATTAAACCTGAAACATTCAAGTTACCTTGATTCAAGTTCTTCTTGCGCTGTTCTGTCATCAGTTACTCTTTCGCCAGTTGATGCCCGTCGTAGCCTGAATGACAATGCTTCCAACAATTCCACCACTCTGTCGTTACTCTGAAAGGGCAAAGGCATTTTAGGAAATAAGATTCAAGGAAATTATACTTAGTATGTCTAAATAATTTGCATATTTACCCAACAATGTACTTCAATCTAATAACACAAGTTTTTAGTTACATTTCTAGTTTTAAAACTAATCAAATCGTAGCATTGTAAGAGTCCAATCAGACTATGACCACTCAAAATGTGGTTAGTACTTTGAATGTTATGCAGCGACAACCGTTTAGTGCAATGTAGTATTCCTCCCATTCAAACCAAGAAATCATAACTCACCGGTGGTGTATTACTATTTATACTGTTTGGTGAGTCAGACAGTGAAGTATGACCGCTACACTTTCTGCTTTCATTCTGCAAGTACTTGAAATTGAGTATGTTATACCACTGTGTCCTCACCGCTGAGGCTGGGTTGAAATCAGCAAGACTCACTTGAGCTGCACCCTACAAATACAAATTGTTTAATTAAGACATTGAAAATAAGTACACATAAACATGTTTTTATTCATTTACTATTGTAACCAAGGGAGTTTCAGAATACAATAATTTCCAGTATTTGATCCAATATTTATGCAAATTATGAGATGAAGGCCAATAATTTCAAAAATCATGGTATATTGGATTGTGTTCACTTAACAAAACACCTTTTAATACTTTTGAAACAGCTGGTCTACTTTATTCAACATTATTTATGCAAATACAACAAATGTACGTAAATAGTTAATGGCACTAAAAAATCAAATCTTATTCTCAAAACTAAGTTAAATTTAGACAAATTTTGAAAGCCAGAAAAATATCAAAACATTTCACAATATCGTTCTCAGAATTACTGCATGAATTGGATAAATTTATATGGGACTATACTGTTACAAAGCAGTTGCTCACCAAGCAATCCTCATCCTTGTTTTCACGGACACACCATACGTTGACCTGTATCGTCTTGCTACTGAGTTGCGTCTCCAAGATGGGAACTCTGAAAACTTCATTGAACACTGCTGCATAGTTATCATCACAAGGTTTCGTTGAAAGTACTAAATTAGTACTGGCAGGATATAATGCTATTTTTATGTACCTAGGGAAAAGGATAAATATTTATAATAATGGTTAAAATAGCAATTTTGAATGACAACAATGCTTTCATGTTTCTTCCTGCTTGCCCACCGAGGGGCCGCAGTGGAGACAGCTCACTCCGACTGCGTCTGATCTACCCGGTCTGCCAGGGACGCAATTTGCCCGACAGTCCTTCGACCAAAGCCCTAAACTCGGAGGCAAACCCGGCGCCGTGCGAGGAAGGATCCACAAAGGGACCCGCGACGGGCCCAATAGGAGGGAAGACCTCCAGTTGAATGTTGCAACATGTTAACAAATGCAATGAAAAATTCAATAATTGAGTGCGGCAATCTAAGATATATGATAAAGCATATTTGGCATGACACACTAGGATTGTGTCCCTCGCTAAATGAGATGCATAACAGCGAGAAACACGCTTAATGATGTTCAGAAAATAACTATTACATAACTGTATTACATAATGGTATTACTCACACTTTTGCCTTTTCAGGAATTGAAAGAGAGTTGAGATTCTTGGCTTGTTCAATGCTGATATGCAAATGACTATCTGTTACGTCGTATTTCAACCCAATCTGTACTTGAGCGGACTGACACACGTCACTAAAAAACACTTCATCTCCCGCTTCACCAGGTCTGTTCAACGGAAAAAAAAACACAAAAAAAAAACAATAATCAGTGTAATTAATTTTTCAGAATTCCACTGCAATTTAAACAAGGACGACTTGTACTAGTCTTGTAGTATCACAAAATTATCCTAGTTGTTGCTACTGTAAACAGCTCATTTGCATAAAAGTGAAGGTACACTACCAGTGTGTAGTTATTGGACATGAACGTCTGACTAGTTACAAACAACACATACACTCCACCGCGGTATTAGGTTGTTGTAAAATACAGATGAACAATAGTGGATAGAAATATACAATAGGACTGTTAAGTGCTTCCCTGACACTGAATACAACAGTCAAAAAAATGTATATAATTGACTAGACTGGATATTCTTTAATGGGTGAATGACACTGATGACCAGTCAACACTTGTCGGTACTGTTTGATATTAACAAATGTCACAGTCCAATGAAATGCACATCATGCGTACCTGGGAAAACATGAGATTACAGGAACTACGCATCGTTACATGTACTGAGGCATTAATAACAGACAGAGTCCAGCTGTCATGCTTACATTTAAAGATCAAAGTCAAAACTGCACAGTAAAAAGACTGAAGTTTTTTCTTAAACTTTACCTCTTGACTGCAGCCTCATAGACTCCGCTGTCGCCGGCGACAGATTCGTCAGAAATAGCTGCTGATACACTGCGTGTATTTGTATTTGATTGCCTGTCTGCAGGAATCACACCTGAATGGAGATAGATAAAGATTAATTTGGTTGAAATATCTCTCTGTAATAAATAAATATCCTATGCGTTGTCATAAGATAATTTTGCTGACTGTCACTTGTCAGACATCTTGTTTTACTCTCGGTGATATTTCATTTATTATCTCATACATACTGTGTATACGAATCACCACGACTACAAGCAAAGTATGATCACAAATCAGACTTGTACGCAACTCAACAATTTCTGCTACGAAAACCAAGAGAGATATTATGTCGATTTATGCCGGTAATTGATAATTGTACTGACCTGCAATACTTTCCGATATTGGACTGAGTGGCTGGTTTATAACATCCAAATTATAATCCACTGTACTTGGCTTTGAATCCAAATTTATTCTTGCAACTCCCTGTTGGACTGCTCGGCTACTTGCATCATAAGTCGGTGTAAAAGTGTTTTGTTGAATTAAAGGCACATACTGGCTATTACTATTATTACTAAGGCTAGTAGGCGGCACAGTGACAACTGTTGATGTCGTTTGCACATGCTCATTAGAGTCCAAGTGCAACTGAGCCTTTTGTTTTTCTAAGTTTAGAAAATGTTGCTGATAACTAGGAGGAGGACCTTCTGGAAGAGTCGGTGCTGTTTCTGTGGTAACAACTCCACTGCCAGGTGACGCCGGCGGTGATAACGACGACAAGGAAGATCGCGGGGACAGGGACGTCAGAGACTTTGGTGTCTCATTGGTTAAAAATTTATTGGTTGATGGTCCTTGCGAGGCATTGGAACTTTCTGGTGTGTCAGTGCCAGATGTTTCATGGATTGGTGAAATATTGGTTCCTCGAACTGAAAGTGACAGACTCATCCCTCCTTGGAGAAGCTCATCAACCTGAAAATAGAATGGATTGATCCAATCTTGTAAGTCCTGTCACAAATATTTATCACAGTTTCTGCTTGATTCCTATTGAATTATGACCAACTTACATCACATTCCTATATCAGCATGTTTCCATGACAACAATAAAGCAATGTAACAAAAACAAACCCACCTTTTCTTGTAGATCTCTGAGGTTGATGTCAGCAACACTTTGTGAATGTGGTATACCATAAATATCAGTGAAACTGACGTTCAAAGAGCCTTTACTGGATGCGAGAGAACCCTTACTGGAGGCGCTTAGCGAACCACGGCTTGAACTGGAGGAAATTGATAACGTACTAGCAGACAAACTGTCAAAGGAAAAATATAGAAATAAATATATAAAAGAATATTTAGCATTTGTACAGACCATGCTAGAAACAAAAATACAATAGAATAAGCTAAGGAAATATTCCAAGATCATAAGTACATTGTACATTAAGCTCAGTACTAAACATCAGCTTACCTTTTTAACTGGTTTTCAAGGTAGGTACTTAATTGTGTTGTTTCTGACAACTGCTGCACCAATTCTTTTTTCTTCTCTTCCAATTTTAATCTTAAAAACAAACAAACAAGCCAAGATGAGAATAATCAACTATTTTTCATGGAGGTATGGTTTGAATTGCTTCCAATTCAAATCAATCAGGACGTGTGTTACAAACTGCATATGCAACCAACACAAGTTTCAGTAAGGCTCTATCCGATTGATTTATGACATCTGTCAAAACAAATCTGATTATAATCAAAATGTTTTTTTTTCTTGAAGAAGCAAAATTTAGTGGCAATGAATGGCACTTGACTGACCTCTACAAAAAAGACAGAATCGCAAAATGACAATTATTTCGTATGATGTCTTTTCTACCTACCTATCACCTATTAACCTGTGTGATTGCTCCTTGGCATCCACTATCTCCCCAACTAATCTTTGTTTTTCTGCATCTAATTGTTGCATTTCACCCTCACTCCTCTTTCTAGGATTGATTTTCCGCAGCTCTTTCAACAAATGTTCTTTCTCTTGAATTAGTAAAAGACGGTCTTTGTCAGCTTCATGCTGGCCAGGCAGTTCCTTATTTTCAATCTCTGCTAGCTGAATTTGAAGAAGGCATCGTCTGAAAAGAAAAGTACCCCGGTATGCGTTATTGGATGATGCAAATATTTCTAATGCTGTTTGTTTAACCCTTTCACTATCACTGTTAACAATATAGTTCCGTTTTAAGTCTTGTTTTTGTCATATTAATTATAGTCCAAAATTATTGTCATAATGCATGAAGATGTTAAGAATTAAATAAGGTTATTCATACTCCATATAAATATGAAATTAAGCTGATAAAGTTTTGCCGTAAACAAGAACAAGGAACAAATGTTAGAATCTAAACATTTTATTTTGAAAAAGTACGCCCTCACACAACAAAGAAAACTACTAACCTTCGCCTGGCTTCCTCATACTGTAGTTTTAACTTGGCTTTCTCGGCTAATCGAGCCCCAGATGGTGCACCAAAGTCCCCGGATAAGTTGGTCTGACATGACGTGCTCTTCCTCTCCTTAGCGATGGATGCAAGCGACGTTGTTGAAATTGAGATATCAGGTGCAGAAATACTACTTGAAAAGTTGCTTTTAAGTTTTCCTATCGCCTATGAGAATGAAAAAGTTACATAAATTGGGTTCAGTATAAATAGCAGAAATCGAGTCAATTTATTTAAATGTATGCGATTTTCAGTATAACATCAACTCACCATCATAAGATCAGCTTTCTCTTTCTCCCCCGAGCTAATACATTTCTGAATACTGTGTATTTCCGCCAATATGGCCTGCGCATCAGACAGCATGTATCCAGTATGGTACGTAGACATCTTCTCATCAACACTGTAGAACAACGCAAACAATGTCAAAACTGACTAAAAAATTGTAACATGTAGCTTGTGAGATACTAAATTTAAAATGGGTATAAGTGAGAATGTATGCCAATAGTAGGTTGAGATGAGACATACTACTTGAGTTTTGTTTTTTATAACTACTTCCTACTGAGATCAGGCGGAGATGCCTAATGGACAATAATGTAGTTGATAGTGGATGATGACATCATGACAACAAATGATGACATCATCACATCAAATGATGACATTATCACATTGTTTCAGGTAACACTTGACCTGCCTGCACAATGTATCTAATTACACTAGTGAGGCATAAGAGAATTGGAAATTGCCTCTGAAAAAAGTAAATCACCTAAGAGGATTGCATGAGAGAAAAGCGGATTTTACAGTAAATACATTATTTATTATCTTAAGTACTTGGATCAACAGGCAAAGCTGAATTACTATTGGGAAGTTACATTTTAATACGATAGAACTGCACTCCTAATACAGTGCTGTATATTGGTGGTCTTACTACGGTATACAGCCAATAGTCAACACCTGGCTGAGGAAATCATACACACAGAAGAATCAAGAATCCTGGGCTTGGAAAATGCATTGGTCAACACCGGCTGATTTAGTGAGAAAGTTTTTGATTTTTGTGACATGTAATTCGGCTCAAAAATGAGACCCTCCATATAGAACAACTATGTACCGGCAACCCTAATTAAGGCACTACAGACCAGTGATCCATGAACCATAAAATAAACATAAGTAAGCCACACAAAAACATTCTCACTCTTAGTACTACTCTGATCAAATCAGAGAGAGAAAAAAAACACCATGGTAATTGTAATTGTATAGAGATCTTATCACATGGTGTAAATTGCAAAGTTTATTTTATGATGGTTATCTTAGGAGAAGTTCACAGAGTACATTGTATTGCATCTGGTGGCTTTGTGAGCAGTCGTATAATGGGGCGATCTGATGTTAATAATTTGACTGACCTTTAAACTCAGAAAACAACTAAAAACAGGCATATTAACATGCATTGTTATTCTGTTCTCTGGTAGAGTGCCTGTATTTTGACAATTGAGTACTTCTGAAAATACAAGGCCACTCGGATATTACTGAACTCAAATGAACTTTTCAATAATAATTTCTATAGAAGTGAACCAAATTTCCAGTCTCCATAAATAAAAAGCTATACTGGATCAATGTGTCTGGGGGCAGAGTGATATATCACAGTCATGCACATCCCAAAATACATTTGTAACAGACATACTGGGTTACAAGTATTCACATAACACTAGAATCCCTCAAGATTACAATATACATATACTCCAACTGTAGGATAAAATCAATGCAACGTGATGTCTCAGAAAGTAAAAGAGTTTAAGATCTTGAAGGATATGTCAGTGGAGGTATAATAACTTGAAGTGCCTTGGCTTCTAATAGATCTTGTATTATTATACATTAATCTCCATGGCAATGAGGCACTTCATAGGACTTAATGTTGTTTATTTTTGCTCTATCAGAGATCCCTTGTAGGAGCTAGTGAACGCATTCTTTTGTTTTAATGAAGAAAAGAGAAATGAATGTTTTTGTTTTGAACATTTTTCCATTTACTGGTTGTGGCTAAAAATGTCAGCTTTTAGTCTGTTTTTGCACTTTCCTATGTTAATTACAAAAAGGTCACAGTTAAGAACTGATAAACGTACATGTGATATTACAAACCTCTTTATTAATGTAAATTACTAGCACAGTACATATTTTAGTTTTCACTGGACTCCTGGAGACCAATGAGAAAGAAAGAAGGTAATAGACTTACTGTTGTAATGTGGCAACCCCTCTCTCTTTGTAGTGTACTTCCGTCTTAACTTGTTCCAACTCCAGTTTGAGTTTGGCCACCCGATGCTTGGCAGTGGACACCTCCTGTTTGAGTAAATCAGGGTCATATTTCGTGGTGCTTCCTGATGACCCGGATGAGCACACTGGGAGCAAAATATATCAGTATTATGGTTACTACAAAGTTACATTAATAAAATACCATTACAGTTGTCCTTGCTATACCATGCAGCTTACACAAAAACACACACAGAGTTCATCTACAGATTCAGTTACTCTGACATTGCACTGCATTTTTGAGAAACGAGTCCTGGCATTATAAATTAATTTATGTATCATATTTGCTTTATAAAAAGTGAATCTCTAAAAAAATTGGATGTAAATTAACAGTTGAATGTATTATATACTGGATTATTAAAATATAACTTATTTTGACCAGACATGACTAATAAAACAAACACAGTATCTCAGTTGAACGACGTCAGTTTGGTGATTCAGGGAAAATTTGGAAATCTCACAATAGCAAACATTTCCGGTCACAGTGACTTTTATGATTGTGATCAAGTTGTCAAAATTACAAATATATTTTGTTTTTATGACAAATATAATTTTATTTCAGGTATTTCTTATTCTTTGTAAAAAATTCCAAAACAATAATAATCACAATAATTATTGTTTTAATTGCCCTTCCATAATTGTATATACGGTACTTTATTCAATTTAAGATTTTGTTGGTTAAAACATTCCAGTACCATCCCTATAGATTACTTTAGCATAGATAACTTTATCCGACGAGTCAAGAAATTTTGTTTCAAGCCAGCAATAACCAATACTGTGTTTGAATTTGGAAAAAAAAATCGATAATAAAAATTGGCCTCGTACATGAATTTAAAGAGTGTTAAAGTGATATTGGTAATAGAGCTCCAACTCTAGTTTGTCCAATCGCATAGTTAATATAAATTTGTGGAATGTCCCACCAACAACATCAACTGATAAAGAAACACAAGAGAATATCAAATTTAGTCAGCCAATTAAAAACTCCTCAAGCACGGTGGTCCTGCCAGCAAGATCAGACATTATAATGCTTCAAAGCCTGCTTGGAAGTTGAACGTTTCACCCAGGAACGGATGTGAGTTACGGATATAAAAAAGTGGGATAGGCTAGACTGTAATAATGTTTGTTGCTGTTTCACACTTCCCAAAGCAAGTGGAATTGGATGTGAATTTTATTAGGACATGCAATTGAAATTACTGAAATGCCAATGCATATTAACTTCCGTGGGAAAGCAGACTGCACACCCTATTAAACAGAGTCCTACCAACACACTGTAACACAAACTTTTGTTGAAATCAGAAAAAAAGGTTGTATGAAGAAAATCAATCTTTTTTTCAATAAATTAGTATACCGGTAGTGTATGTATAAGTGTGATTTATAACAAGTTTAGAAACATTCCCACAAGCTATGTTGGTTTTCATGAAGTTATTTATAAATCAAAACAGAAATATTTAATTTAGTAATAATTCAATATTTTTGTAATGGTATTACTATATGTTCTCTCTTTGATACTGTGTGTGTTTTACATAAATGGTTCGTTACGAATGTTAATATAGTAAAAGCGGATGAGTTGTGAGTTTGGTGAATTTGAAATCACAATAAAACAACAATTTCTGATTATATGCATTTCTAATAGATTGAATATGGTAATTGTTTTCAGTGGTTGCTTTGACAATTACTGTATTTGCTCTATTAGTAGTATTTGTGTTTACAAACATTCTGGAGATGTTTTTTGGGTCAAAATAATTTGTATTTTAACGGTTTAGTTTTACATTATAATAAATGCAATTTAAATTTTAGCCACAAGATATTTCTGCAATATGAGTATATTTCGTAAGGTAAAAAATGTCATTATTTTTTCTTGATTCAAGTAAACTGTAAATTTTGTGGGTCATGAAATCACTCGTGTATCAAATACAAGACAGCCGTGATTTCAGTTTCTGAACCCGAGCACCTTTTTATACTCCATATTCCTCAAAAACCACAAGCATAAAACAATGCTTGTACCACTTCACAATCCTCACATACAGACATTCCTTGTACAGTAGTATGTGTTTTTTTCTGCATTCAAAAAGCAGAAACAAATAGTTCCAATACTTACAACTAGTCCGTGACGGAAAACCATTCAGAGCGTTGTTTAGATGCTGGAACTGCAAATAAAATAAAAGAGATCCCATATTTCAGATATGTATGTTAGCTAGCGTGCTCTCTACACAACGAGAACTTGACAACATTTTGATAAATTGAGTTTTTCAGGTTCCGCAAATAACTCCATTGTACACCAGTGGAATAGCGTGCCACACTATGCTTTTTTTCTAGTTAAAATGGCATTCCATTTTGCAAATCTATTGAGGTACCATCCCCTGGCCAATATATACATCATCAAATGTTAGAGAGGATGGATACTTAGAAACTAGCTGCACATTATGAATTTAAGAGATGCTCCTAAATTTAGTAAGATTTAAGAAATCTGGACACTCATTGATTTAGAAAGTAGGTATGTATGATAAGACCCTGTAGTACCTGTACTCTCAAAATGAAATGGGCTTGACAGTGAGAGTAGGATTTCTATTATAAATTACATGACGTATTTATCAGCAAACACAGCATCATTCGAGCACGTTTTACATTGTTCTGGGAGTGACGTTTTAGATATTTGAAAAGTAGAAATGCTGCTTTAAATACTTCTCCAGCCATACATCATTAAAAATTACAAGTTAATTCTTGTGAAAGATATTGAGAAAATAAGTTATTTCTAGTTTGAGTGACTCATCAGTATATGTGTTGTGTATGAAGTATGTCTGTCTTTAATTGAAGCATAAGTTGTACAACAATTCACATACCATTCATGAAGCGTAATTATTCTTGTGGCATTTGGAAAAGTAACTTTGAGATTAATACAATAATGATGACATGCTGACCATCAGAAGCCAGCCCAGTATTCAATTAGTCGTATTTAGTCGACAGTCCAATTAGGTATCAGAATTTAGATCGAAAGCAACAAGTGACTACCATATTTGCTTTATTTGTAGCACATGTGACTACCATATTTGCTTTATTTGTAGCACATGTGACTACCATATTTGCTTTATTTGCAGCACATGTGACTACCATATTTGCTTTATTTGCAGCACATGTGACTACCATATTTGCTTTATTTGTAGCACATGTGCTTTAAAATACAGAGGTACCGTTATATATAAAATCGAAATAAGACATATTTTAGCAATCCAAAATAATGATTTTTTTTTCATGATGATGAGATGAAGAAAGATGACCAAATAACTTACTTCGTCCTGAGCTAAAGCTAGTCGCTGTTGTTTGACGGCGTATATTTCCTGTTTGGCGTGTAAATCATCCTGCGCTGTGTAAAGGTACTCTTTCAACATCTTCTCTTGTGCCTGCCTCCATTGTTGACGAGGATCATCAATTTGGTTTCTCTCTGTCAGAAAAAAGGACATTAAACATTGAAATGGCGTCATCGCAAGCAATGTTGTTAATGTTCAATTTGTGTAATCAATTATCAATTTATGCTTAGCCCTCAAGTTAAAAGTCCCTTGATTTTTTATTAATATATGACTGAAAAAAAAGACGTGAACGAAACCCCACCAGGAAAAATGTAATTCATTACTGCCGGAATTTATTGCTAAAACGACAATAAATAAACTGCATCTCTAATGTTAGA